GCACTGTAAAAATACTACTTGTAAGAGTACACAAGAGTCTATGTTGATCTTTTTTCAGTGCGTCTGCGTCTACAGTTCGTCAAACTATAAATCCAGCTTATATTTAAACCTGTCAAGTACTGATGGTAAAAAAACGAATGTTCACTATTTTTGATTTAATTCTTTTAATTTGTAAAAACTAATTTATAAACCACTATAAAAATTTCAAAATAAACATTTAAAACTTATTGTTTTAATTAATTAAATTTAATTTATTTTGTTAATAAATCGCACGTCAATATTGTTTACTTCTAAAGTTACAAATAATATTGGTTATTTGCATGTGCACTTGGTTGTATGGTATCTTTCAGCCATCAGTCGATATCAAAATTTAACCACCATAACACAAATTAATTACTGAATTGACTTATCAATCGAAACTCAAATCAGTAAATAGAATAGAGTTCTTGCTGCCATATTTTAGTAATTGGTTTAGGTACATTTTAGCACTGAGAATTGTCTGTTTTTAAAATACTTAATTCTTGTGTAGTATGTATCTAAAATTTTAAACTGTTTGCACATACTTAATCAGACTTCTGAATTTTATCATATTTTTCGCAAGTGTTCCTCGAGATTCAGCTGGTCTGTACAAATTCGTTGGTTAATTTATGGTTTTGTCATAGAGAAAATAAAAAGTTTTGTAACAGTCTCTTTAAAACGTTGCCAATATTCCGCGTTTGTTTTTCTAGTTCGTAAATTCGCCTTATTTCTTATTTCAATATATTGGTTGTACTTTTTTGATGGTAGTGAACTTTGTCTTAAATATACCAGATACTTATTTTGTATTAGCCTTTTCACCGTCATTTTAAAGTTTGCTACAATCTAAAACTAAACATTTGGAAAGCGTTTATAACAATAATATTATCTTTAAATATAAATTTTTTAAACAGGTAAAAAAGAAATAAATAAGACTTACTCACAATCAGTTTAATGTAACTACCTAGACGACCGGTTTCGCTTTCTACAATTTGCAAAGCATCTTCAGTTCTGTCGTAATAAGTTAATTAAATGCTGAAATAATAAAACTTATATTAGGGTGCTGTTTAATTAAGATAAACATAAAGATAAAATAATATAAATTACAGTAATTATGCCAATATTACATGTCTGTGTTTTTTTTAATATAAATAAACTATTTAAGCAGATAAAGTAAGACCCACAAATTGGTATAAAATAGTTTATTGAATTGTAATATACCAGTACTTTGTATACCAGTACAAAGCGGAGTTAGACAGGGTGACTCGTTGAGCCCACGTCTCTTTAATATAATAATGAACGAAATAATACAAGCAGTACGTAAAGGTCATGGCTACAGAATGGGGAACAAAGAAATACAAATATTATGTTATGTAGACGACGCCGCATTAATCGCCGAGACAGAAGACGAGCTTCAAAGATTAATACATACCTTCAATACAACAGCTAAGAAATAGAATATGATAATATCAGCAGACAAAACCAAATGTATGACAACATCTAAATACCTACTACGGTGTAAAATCGAAATTGATGGGAAAATAAAAAAGCAGGAAGCAAGGTTTAGATATTTGGGAATAGATATAACTAGTTACGGAGATGTTGAAGTAGAAGTACGACAACAAAGCTTAAAAGCATGTAAAGCGGCGGATTCTCTTAATGACACAATCTGGAAGAACAAACACCTAAGACAAGACACAAAAACAAGAATCTATAAAGCAGCAGTTAGACCTATATTAACATACACGGCGGAGACAAGACCTGACACATCTAAAACGAGACGACTGCGACTGCTAGAAATAACAGAAATGAAAATACTCTGACGAATATCAGGGAAAAGTCTATTGGATAGAAAGAGAAGCGAAAACATAAGATGAGCATGCAATATTGGTGACATAAATGGATGGGTGACAAAAAGGAAACAGGAGTGGAACAAACATATCAGTAGAATGCCAGATAATAGAATAGTACAAATAGCACGAGATAAGTCACCAAATAGACGAAGAAGTATTGGCAGACCAGGAAAAAGATGGTGCGACAATTTATGAAGCTTATATCGAAGATGAAACAGGCTTTAAAGCCTATATACTAGAAGGAAAAAGAAGAAGAAGAAAAATTGTAATAAATTAGTAAATAAATAAAACATTAATTACATGCCTGTACACGATTTATTAATGATTGAAAGAACATAGTTCAAACTATCCTGTAATTACTGATGATGGGGATCTTCACAATTAATGGGGACAATTAATGTTAAACAATTAATGTTGTTAAACGGTAGTATATGGAGAAAATTTATATTTTGCATCCTATTTTTAGTATTTTTAAAGCCATCAAACGCAAATTTGTACAAAATTTATACCCCATCCCCCAGATTCTATTCAGAGCATCTAAGCGATGTATACATAGATCGAGGGATATTTAGAATAAAAACTTATCTAGAAAAGAAAAAAATTTTAGATGGTGAACAAACGATAGATTCAATGGTAAAAATGCTGGAAGATATGTGCAAGACAAGCAATATAATAAATTTTGATTCACTATCGAGCCAGCTAAAAGAGGAACAAGAACGAGCAAAAATGATAAGTCGAGCTTTACTTCTGAAAGTCAAAAGAAGGCCGAAGAGGGGTCTTCTAGGAACAGTCCTCACATCAGTATTTGGGATAAATGATGAAGTATACAGGGACATAGATTCTCTATGTCATAGAAGAAAGAATAAACGGATATCTAAATAGGTTCCAAGAAGCACTGATGAACGGAACCAAGGAAATGTCTAAGGGGCTAAGTGATGTCTCATATAGAGCTGATACATTAGAGAAGGAGTACATACGACTTAAAGTGGAAACGACTTGTAACCGTGCAATGGAATATGCAAAAGAATATTCAAACATATACGAAAAAATATTAAATCTTCATTATAATCATGGACACTTCATAGATATTATTAAACCTGGACAAATATACTCAATCATTTTGACTGCTACAAGGTTCCTTTAACAAGGAGTAGATACAAGAAGGCAGCCAATAATAGATACGGTAGTACAAGATGAAGAAGAAGACGTCGTCATTATTGGCTATTTTCTAATAATTGACAACACTAGATACAACCTACTGAGAGTCACAGCTCTTCCGTTGTCGGTGAGAGGTTGTGTTGTGCGCTCGTTGTTGGTCCCAAGAAATTTACTTGCAGTAGATTACACTAACTTACATTATTTTGAAGTGACATATGAAGATAAAGGAAGGTGTATAGAATTAAACAAAGGAGAGTTGGCATGTTCACCAATGGGAATCATTAATATGGATACTCAGCCAAACTGTATCTTAAATAAATTATATGATAGAATTACCAATACCACTTGCAATATAATAAAATACACGATAAAGGAAGCCAGTTGGTTGAAAATGAGCACACCGAACCTGTGGTTAGTCATTCCACCACACTCTATAAATTTAGCTATAATGTGCGAGGGTTGTCGATCTGAACACATAATCGAACAAACGAGTTTTATATAACTGTCACCAAAATGCGTTGCTCAGACTCGAAACATAACGTTACTCACATCCAGTAACGGATTGGAAACAGCAATTAAAAGCTACTTAAAGACTCCCGTCAGTCCCATTGAAGAGCTTGTGCAGAGGCCAATCATAAGGCAGAACAACATTCCCAAACATAATATAGATATTCGGGGAGATGAGTTGCCAAATATTGTACTTAAGGCAGAGCAGTTTAACCAAGATATATCAGAACACACGTGGAAAACCATTGCTAACCATGAGTGGATTCCTCATTTAACCACGGGACTAGTCACTTAATTAATTGTTATGTTGATTGTCATTACATGGAAGGTAGTCAGATATTTTTGAAACTCTAAGAGAGCCAGAAAACAAAGGCATCAACACTTCACTCCACAACTTCAACCTTTTATTATACCTATCATCACCAATCGACAAGAAGCGGACAAAGGGACATTTACAAACCGATTCGAACCTCAAAACTACGTTCGAACCTTTCCATACACTTTTTTTAAGTTTATAGGAATGAAGGTGTTTTTCAAGATATGTGCTAGTTTGCCAAAAGCGCCCCATGCCAGTTGTGTTCTTCTTTTAATTTCATCATGCTGCTGCTGCTTAAGCAAGTATTTGATCGTATTAGAACAATAGTAGAAAATGATGATAACCTTTCCGAAAATTTGGTTATATTTCAACATGATGGAGCTCCTCCATACTTTGCTTCATTTGTGCGACAATTTTTAAACGAAACGTTTTCCGGGCGTAGGATAGGTAGAAGAGGACAGATGATGGATTGGCCAAATAGGTTACCGGATTTATCACCCCCACACTTTTTATGGGGGTATTAAAAACAAAAATTTATGCTACTCAACCAGAATCTCTAGATGATTTACGACAAAAAGTAGAGGATGAATGTCGGCAATTAAATGCAGACGTGTTAAGCAACGTCAGAGAAGAATTTCAAAATAGATTGTACTATTATATGGAAGTGAATGGCGAATTTTGAACAATTATTCTAAGAATTTTTGGTAATGAAATGTTCATTCTAAATTTTTGTAATAAAATTGTTAAAAAAATTTTTTTTTTCTATCCAAATTTCTTGCTTTTTTATTTATTTTTATTATAAACAAATTACTTCAAGCACCATGTGTTATACATTACTAAAATCGATAAAATAGAATAATCCAAATACAAATAAAAAAAATGAGGAAGTAATTTCAAAAAAAAAATAAGGGATGATACGGGGGGTGAGAGGATGCATTTTCCAGCAACCTTAAATATGATATAATGTCTCCCCCTTTAAATAATAATTGACGTATTTTTGCGTTTTTCCTAAAAATTAGAAGTTCAAAAATTATTTAAGGTGGATAGTTTTATCTAAAAAGCACTGTATGTATCTTTCTGCCTGATAATGTATAATAATACTATAGTGCCATGAACATAATATTTTGAGATTGATATAAAAATATTTTTAGATGGCTTCCGAAAGCGGCTATAAAGTCGATGGAGGGCGATTCTTCAGACTGCGTCTTAGTGGTCGGAGTATCTCGACCGAAAATGGCTCTCGCAATACTCACCATTATGCTGATCTCACTCTTCTTCACCTTTCATTTGATATACGACAGTGCCCTTAACAGTCTACAAACAAAACAAGTCGAGCATTCGAGGCCTCCAGTTCTTTTACTTTCCAGACGGCTATATCCAGCTGCAGCCAGAAGGCTACCGCAGGTAAGCATTAAAGTTATTTTTAAATGCAGTATTTTATATTTGTTGCCCTTTATGTTATTAAAAAGACTCACAATGAATTACAAACTTTTCTTTTTTTTACCTCTCAGGGCATAAAGTTCCATTGTTAGAGCTGGGAAATTGTAAGTTTCTTTAAAAAGTGTAATCTTTTTATCATCGACCTGGTGTCTTACTAATTATAATGTTAGTTTCTCAAATGATGTAATTTAAGGGTCGTCTGACCTCATTATGTGGCTAGTCCTCACTACTACATCGACATTTTTCTCTGATGATGATCTGATCGAAAACGTTCTGAAAATATATAAATCCACTTTGGAAAAATTTTTATAAACTTTAATAGTAAAATAATATACCATTTTGAAAAAAGTTTTTACTTTTTTCAAAGTTTTTTTTAATCTATGGTGTATATTGGGAAATTTCCACCAAAAGAAATTTCCACCAAAGGGAATATTTATGTAATTCTAAGGATGCTTTATTTGCAATATGTAACTTGTGAAATATTTGTTTTGTCGTGAATTATTTCGGGTGGTAAACTTTTTTACGTCTTTTTTGAGGTTCCATATTTAATATTTAAGTAAAATTCAGCTTGTTTGTTGATTTTTAGGGTTCAAATCACAGCAAATCCCAGTGACGACTGGACTATTAGGGTATTCTGCATATTCACAGTGGGTTTTCGTTCTTTATATTTAGTGAATGGGTATATTTCTTTTGTTTATCACACTTAATTAAAAAAATGGTCTGTTCCTCACATTGCTCCTCATTTCACTTTAACGTTTAAAGATCTTATCATACTGTGTTGTTTAAGCACAACATAGACAATGATTGATTTAAGGCTCCGCGAAGGTTGAATTCATATATACTTTTGTATGTCTTTGTGCTGTAAATGGTCGTTTAAAATTCTTAGAAATTGTTGACAATATTCTTAAAGTCGATTTCCACTATATTTTTGATTTTATCTTTAAACATTCCTACAATACTACTTTGGGCTTTTTGCCCACACATCTTTTGAAGTCTCCTTGGTTAATAATTTCTTTCTTGTCGTTTATATTATCTAATACAGATGTTAAAGTTTCACAGAACTCATTTTTCCTCTACGCATGTATCATTATTCGGTACATATACAATTACTACAATTATGACTTGATTGTAGTACGTAATTTCTAGATTAAATTTTTTTTTCATTGACTGCTTGTCATGTGTAAATGTTTTTGTGGATATAAATAACGAGTGGTACCACACTATAATTTGCTATGCATCTTTAGGTCAACGATACATGGTAAACTATATATATATATATATATATATATATATATATATATATATATATATATATATATATATATATATATATATATATAGATATATATATATATATATATATACTTCTAGCGGTTAATATGGGCTCCGTACTAAAACGGTATTATACTAACTCCAGGAGAATATACGCCGTGTATATTATTATCTGAGTAGCGCTTTATGTAGACTCCGACCAATACGTCGGATCAAGTGGACTCCTAGATAGGATCAAACATTTTTGGGATCCGTATATAACTTTTCCCGTACACTTCTTAACTCCTGCGATGTTGCCAATAATTATATTAGTAGTAGATTTTTAAATTTTATAGGTGGTACATTTTGGAACCTATTAATATGAACATCGAGTAGCGTAATCGTCTAACAGTTTAAGAAACTCTTCTGTAAGATATTTATAATTTTTCAATTACTGCAGTTTATGGCGTGTACCTAATATTTATTTCATGAAGTAGTTAAAATTAGACTATAATAATTTATAAATTAATCTTTAATATTATAATTTTTTGCTGTCTAATTTCAATATGTTGATTTTTAATTAACAAAATATTTGATGCATTAAAGTCGCGTAGCTATTTTCACCAAACATTCAATTTTAAAGCTATTAGTATAAAAGTCTAAAACAAAAGTATAAAAAGCTAAGGAATTTAATATGGATACACACGTCAGTGTGCTTTTCTCAAGTCTCAAGTTTCTCGAATCTATCAATCATTCATTGTATTTCTTATACTTTCATTTTAATCCTCTCCAATCAAGATTTTAAAGCAGGTTTGCTCCATTAGTCCATTTTTATTACTTTTTGTCACTATTTCTCCTTTTTCATTATCATCATCATTACGTGGCGCTACAACACTGGGTGGGTCTTCGCTAACTACAAATTTTCTCCAAGTTGATCGATTTTCCACGAATCTGTAATCAAATGAAATGTTAATATTTTGAGATATAATTGGATGTTTTCTCTCCATTGCTTACTGAGACGCCTAAGCGGCATTCTTTCTTCTGTGCTAACTTCCTTCCATACCAGTTTTACAAGTTTGATATATTGGCGTCTATGCATGTGTCCGATCTACCTTAAGCGATTTATTTTTCTGAACAATATCGTTATAAAAGTGGCGTCTATGCATGTGTCCGATCTACCTTAAGCGATTTATTTTTCTGAACAATATCGTTATAAAAGCTTTCTTTATTCAGTATGGGTTCTTATTCTATACGGATTTGTAGCGATATGATAATGAGGTTAAAACATTTTTCTAATTATTTTTATTTCAAATATTCGTACTTCTTCCTTATTTTTTTTAGTTAATGTCAATGATTCGCATCCATGTATTAAAAGGTCTAAAATTTGAATTATGCTAAAAGTATTTAGTTATTGACAATATTATTAACAGTGATTATTTATCTAAGATATTTAAAGTGTTCCATATTTTTGAAATTGTAGTTGTTAACTTTAATATTTTATCTAGATTTATTAAATTGGTTTTTTCTGTTGATTCGCTTGTATTTGGTTTTCATTTCGTTGATTTTTCGTGCTCTCTTTACTTTATTGAAGATGTTTGCGGACGGGAGAGTTTCTTATGAGATCTATGTCATTAGCATATGCTAGGAGTGCTTTGTACCTTGGGCCTTTAATGAATTACATCTTAAATAGGCGATATTTCCATTTTAGTAAGCTGTTCATTAATTTTTTGACTATTTGAATCGACAATCTGTATTTTATTCGACTGTTATATCACAGAGTTTCTTGGCGCATATTTTCATTCTTGGTTTTTTGTTTCCCGTATCACTATTACAAAGATTTTTCTGGAGATCGACATAGGGAACCCGGTGGTATGTACATGATGTTTTCATAACCAACATCGAAAATTTGACTTACTGTAAAGTCATAATGATTTTAGGAAATATAGTGTTGTTTAATAATAATAAAGTTCAAGCAACAATTCCTATATGCAATATCTTGGTATGATATTTCTGCTCCCCGATACCAGGAGACAAAAAGGAAGAAATGGTAATAAAATCTTGTTGCGTTCCGACTATACGATGACGATGATCTCTATATAACATATAGGAAGAAATGGAGAATAATGTCTATGTTAAATTTAGAACTCGTTGGTTTTCTCCCTTTCGAATTGGGTATGTATATGTATTACCATAGAAAAAATAAAAAAAAAACTATCTAAAATAGTAAAATCGATAAACAAATTATATAAACAAAAAGATTATATAAATCCCTAATATTTAAACAGACTGCTTTACAAAAGGTGAACGAATAAGCATAAATAAATTGTCAACAAAATAAATCAGAAGAATATGACACAGTATATGGCTTAAAAAGAATTCTTATGTGACTATGGTAAAATACGATACGATCGGATAAACGGCAGTGACTTTTACAGCTGATTGCCACATAAATATTAATGTAACGCAAATATGATGATATTACCTCGGACTGTTATATAGTAATTTGTTGTCACATTGCTGAAAGTTACTTGATGGAAATTCATTGTATCTAACAATCAAACAACTATGCGTTTACAAGTTATAGATTGTAATTGAATAAGTTGAGTAGGGGAAAACTGTTTGTCCCAAGTTGGTATTCAGAATTATGTCTGTATTTTGTAATTTGCCAATTTCCATAGGTTTAAATTTTCATGGATATCACTAGACTCGAGAGCAGTATATGATTCCTTAGTTATGTTTTTAAAGGATAGTAAAATAACCATCTAAATAATTATGCATTAGTTAATAACGTAACCTTTGTTTCTAACACAATTGTCAAATTCCTTTCTTACCGTGGCCTAGTGTTGTACGTCTTTTTAAAAAATGCCTTGATGGTCCCCTAGGCGAGAAGAGAGTGACCCTGTTTACCTGTCTTTTGTTTTGTATATTTATTAATATAAACTCAAACAACTATTTGTACCATGTTGAGTCTGGCTGAATGACTAAAAGTCTATGCCAAAAAATTTCATAGAATCTAAAGACAGCTTAAGGCCTTTATTATAAATATACTTTTTAGTAATGAAAATAAGTAAATAGAACCTAGAATATCCATGTAAAGAATGTAATCTTTGATCTCTGGGATAAACTCATCTCCTGAACAATGGCGCCGATATATATGTAGTTAAAATTTTGTACACCTATTTTAACCTGTTTGTTTCCTTATTATCCATATATGAGTTGTGACCGATGTTACAAACTCATTTACTTTTTACAAAGAGTCTATATATTAGCTACAGTCATTACGTCCATGGCTACAGTTATATTTGTATAGTTATAACTATACAAATCTGACTCGAAATATCGTCTAAAAGTAACAGTATGTAAAATTTAGATTTTTAGTCAAAAGTAAATACTTTGTCATTTTTTATGGAGTTCAACGTAGAAGCCTTCACGAAAATTTAAGTACTAATAAGACCACCGCAATCGGGCGTACCTTGGGTAATGAATAATTAATTAATTGGTTAATTCTTCAATCACTCGTCCAATATGAGTTTTGTCAAATCGGTCCTTTTTAGGACCAACTATTCTATAGAGATAAAGTAAACTATATCTAGAGATAAAGACAATTCATAAGCCTGATGGAAGGTGTAATAAATAAAGCAAATACTACATTGAGTAATTATATAAGCAAAAAGTATATTAATTTTACATTAACATGAATAATATGATTGTCA